GATGGCTTGGTCTTGACAGCTTAAAATAACAGGAGGGCTTGGTGCTTGGTCCCTATGACATCCTAAAATAACAGAGAGCTCTGTTCCTTATGACACCCCCCTCACCAAAAAAAAGTTTGATGTAGATCAATTACAGCAAACCTTTCACTTCATTCTATATTCAAACAGTGGGTTACTCCCTGGGTCTGGTTTTGTGCAATTTTTTTCTTAATCTTTGTGCCACAGGTGGACTATATCGTTCTGTTTGGACTTTAGCTATGAAACCTGTTATATGTTCCTCGCTAGTTGGTGCGGAAGGCAATTTCTGAAAAGTCTCATGCTTACGTATCCCAATCTTGTCTAACTCAATTAACCCTTTGACGCGNGGTAGTTGAATCACTCCGCGTAGCGGCCTCGCGGCTGCCGTTCGTCCGTGCGTGGTAGTTGCCCAATTTGTACTTATAAAAAAAAAATAGTTTTCACCGTACTGGTGGACGCTGTCCTCTAGCTTACTTTCATTCTTTCTTTCTTTCTTTCTTCCTTCTTTCTTTCATTTTTTTCTCTCTCTCCCTATTTCTTCTTCTTCTTCTTCTTTCTTTCCTTCTTCTTCTTCTTCTTTTTCTTTTTTTTTGCATGCGTTCCCGAATGAAGCGTTGGCGGACGTGACTTCCTTTCACACCACTACTACTATGTGACCGGACTATCTGCAGTGTCACACTGAGGTGACTTAGCAAACTCAACTTTGTGTGAATGTGTGTTCCTGTGTCCGCGGACTTAGAGTGCCAGACTAGAGTCAAGCTCAACAGGGTCTTCTTTCCCAGCTGATTCTTCCAAGCCCGTTCCCTTGGCAGTGGTTTCGCTAGATAGTAGATAGGGACAGTGGGAATCTCGTTAATCCATTCATGCGCGTCACTAATTAGATGACGAGGCATTTGGCTATTTTCTATAAGCTTTTTGGCTTACACTTCCCACATATTTTTATGGTGTGGTTCCATCATTTTGTTATGGACTCTAGCTAATCCATCACCGCTCCTTGAAGCATGTGTTGGATAACCTTTGCTAGTTCGTCCAGTTGCGAGTTCCCTCCATATCTACTACTGCGGCCCCTGGCCATCCCCTGCCAAGAAAGTATCTGCTTGAGAAGAATCTACTACAGAGTTCTTTAGGAGAAGCAGATCTTGGCCGACATAATGTCGCTCGCGGGGAGCCTCGTGAAGGCGTCTGCCTGTGTCAGGTGACTGAACCCTGACCAGCTCTGTTTTCTCGCCCCCTTGCATATCTCGGAGGCGGTCTAAGTAAGAGAGCAGTTGGAATCCTCTTCCGTAATCTTAGATAAATACAAAGAAAACATAAGGAAGTAAACTCAACCATAGAATAATAGTAACACAGCAACTAATAATCACAATAATTAATATAACAGCAAAAAAAAAATTAATAACTTAATTGATTTAAATAGCTTAATATTCAATTTAAAATTAAAATTCCCCTAAAATTAGCTAATCCACTTCCAATTGGGTATAAGTCCATATAAGATTCTCTTGGTGTATCCTGCACCTTATCCAGTTGTTATGGAGCTGGTGAACGACAATAAAAACAACAAGAAGAAAACAACAACAACAACTTCACTCAATTCCTCTCATCTCATATGGATGGAGTCGACCACGAAGAAAAACAATTAATACAACAACCTCAACGTGGCCCCCCTTCCAACCACGCCGAAAAGTTGCCAGAAGAGCCAACGACCGCCCAATTCCCATCTCTCAAACCGATGATCAACTACCAACGGATCTGTGTGATTGCTCCAGAGGCGGCCACCGCCTAAAACTTGGACTTACCTTCTGGAAGCGTGGTTGGGTGTTAATTTGTTTGTGTATGCATTGACCAATTGGATTAATTTAAAATTTAGGATTCCTAATCCTATTCTTATTACTCTAAATTCACTGTACCAACTGCTCTATTTGGCCAGGGGCTATTCCACTCTCATTCCCCCTCCTTCTAGTTCTCATAAGGTGGGCATTATAGTCCATAAAATTGTTATATATACTGATTGACTTCCGAAGGGACATCAAGGATATCGTTAGAATCTCTTCTCGGTCCTTGATTCTTATCTTTTCCAGTGCTATGAGTGTGCTCTTCGGTATTGCCCCCCTTGTTCCGATTACTATTGGGAGAACTTCCCCTTCCTCACTCCCCAGTCTATTCTTAAGGTCTGGCAGTAGTTGGGAGTACTTCTCAATTTTACTTCTTCTTCCCGTCTGGAGATAATCCCCGTCTTCGTGGCGGACAGTCACGTCGACCACGAAGACCCCTCCAAGGTTCTTCACCACCATGTCAGGTTTGAGGGTCATTCCTTCCAGGGAAAGAAGTGTAGGCTCCCTTGTCACTACTGCGTCCTTGTCCTTCTCCGTTATTTTCTTTAAGATGTAATCTTTAATCTCGTCATGCCTCTTTATTCTTTCTCTTTTTGTATGAATACATTGGCCTAGAATATGCCCTAATGTCTCTTTTTGTACGTGGCACTTTCTGCATTCAATGTCCCTTCTAATTTTTGCTCTGACCAAGGATGCTTTATCTGCAGCTACGTTAGCTCTCATTTTTAGTGCTGTTATATATTTGCTGGGTTTCAGGATTTGCGGGTTTATTAGCCAAGAGTTTGCGATCTTGTTTTCCGTAAAAGACTTCACCGCTTTCCCTTGAGACTGGAGAGAGGCCCATCTAGCTATTTCTTTTTTCCTTTCCCTGGCCTTATAGGTATCAATTGTGGAGGCGTTTGAAATAGGCCATGCTATCCTGGCCATTCGAGCTATTTCTTGCATTCTTTGTTCTAGCCTTGATTCTTTATAAATAGCTCTCATTACGGGGTCTTCGCTATTCTTAAATTTCAGACCCGTTTTAAGGCTCACACCTACCGCCACAGTCTCCAGTCTGGGTATCCCGAGTCCCCCATCCTTTCTTTTACAGTATAGCAGGCCATCCGCCGTGCATTGTGGAAGATGGTATATATTTTTCACAGCCCTTCGTAGCTGCTGGTCCATTATTCTGATGGTTGATATTGGGACCATGGCCAGTGTTATCAAGAATAGAAAGTGTGGTATTATGTAAGTTGTGATTATATTCGCCTTCTGATGAGGCTTTAAGGCCAGCCGCTCGACCCTCTCCAGCGTGGCCTCAAAATCCCCCCTCAGTGTGCCCATCATCAGACCTTTCCATGGCGAAATTTTTCCCCCCAAAAATTTAATCATTGAATTTGCCTCTATATTCGGTATGATGTCTCCGCTGGTTGTTGTCAGCTTCGGGTCCGTTAGATACCACGTGTCTTTAGTGGCTACTATCTTAAACGCTGCACACTTAGACGCTGAGATTTTCATTCTTAGGTCTTCTAGGTATCTTTCTGTACTTTCCAGTAATACCCTGGCCTCCGGCACATCTGGTGCCATCAGTAGGATGTCATCTGCAAATGCCAAGGTTGAAACTTTGCAGTCTTCGTTTACCCTGAAGCCTTGTTGATTTTCCANATCGTCACAGGGGGTGACCACAGTGTTCTGCCTTAATTTGTGGCGTTTTTCTAAGAACTGGCTGCCATGTACTGTGCGAAATCAATCGATGTTGGAAGAATAAATTTTGGATAACCCTCTTCTAAGAATTCCAATTGAGTGTGTTAGTGTGGCCAGCTCAGGGCAATATGATATTATAAACACAGTACATATCACGTCTCTGCTGTTTATAATTTCATAGCAAAGAAAACACGGCATTCATAAACGTAGAACGAAGAACGAATAACGAATAAACTGCTCGCAAGAGCCACAGGAACTTTGCTGCAAGACAGGCATATGTAACGATGACTTGGCGCTCTTAAACTCGTTTCTCATTATAAACCGTTCTTGTGACAACAGGCCAGCGAAGAATCTAACAATCTACAGCAAAACCATCAATTATTATGGGCGTTATAACATAGGTGTGCAGCTGGACGAAACATACACGTCGAACCCCCCCAGACGATTTAAATACCTGACGAAACATACACGTCAAACCACGCCAACAGGTTAAGGATTGAGTTAGTGCATGAGTTAGTTCATCTTTATCTGAATCTTTAATGTATGCACATTGGGTGCGATGATTGTATTATGGTGAGGATTATTAAATGAATTTGTAATCTTTTTACATCCATTCACGCAATCGTAGTATGCACCTTTCGGATTTAGTTTTCTCCAACACCAGAAAAAGCCTTGCCGACAACCTTTACAACAATAGCAACACAAACATATACTAACCATTACAAATACCATAGTTCCAATTGAAATTCCACCAGTTACAACGTGTTTGTAATATTTGGAATAATCTACTTGTTCTTGTTTGTTTATCATCTGTTTAACATCATTCACCTTAATACTTGCTATTCTCAAATCATCTATTGATGACATGACATTATTCAAAGGAATATCTAATTTAATTTCATTGAGCTTTTTCTTTTCATGCTCGTCAAAACAACAGTCAAAGCCCCAGTTCACTTCAGGTATAAAATCTTTCGATACATTACTAACCATTGTCAATTTTGTGGATGCATATAGTGTAACGTGCACGGTATAAGCTTTGCACCTTGATCGGATGGTCATTCTTCCTCTATTTTCGGCATGTAAATAGTGTGGGGTATTATCTTCACACAGAATTGTAACTCGTTCCGTGGAAGAAGTGTAAAGCCATTGGTTGCTAAGTTGTAATGGGATCAAATAAGTATGGTATAAGGATATCAACTTTATTTCGCGTACTGAGTCTGGGATCTTCTGGGACGATGGAAGCAACATACTGGCTTCACAATCCTCTCCTGGCACGTAGTTAGACAAAAGTATAGTATTTTTGCAAACATAAGTAATTTCATTGGCCGTAAGGCATACGCTCAACTCGTCATAATGCATTTTGCCGTATTGCTTTCTTAATGCATCCATAATCATAAATTCTTTTTGGGGAGCTATGAAAATGAATTTGTCTGTTGTTTTATCCTTCATAGGATACGGAATAGCTTTTTACAAATAAAAATTGGTGGGTAGCAATAATGGAATTTCAATGATATATACTAAATATTGTTGATATACATACGCATGCATAGTTATAATACGTGATAGTTCAGAAGTAGGAAATGTCGGAAAATCAAGACCCTGAGGCAGTGTTTGCTTTGAAACAATGCCTTTTACAGCCCTTATAGTTAATAATTGTGGCTGGAGGCTACCTTGCTCTGCGTGTACAAACGCGTCTATAAAAACTTCAAAAGAGTGCTGGCTTTCTTCCATACCTCTTATAACTATTTTAATCTGCTCATTAATCAAATTTATTTGTTCATATTTTACCTTTAACTCGCTTATTTCTTCTCCCGTACGCTTTTCAAGCAATAACATACCATTTCTCAACAATTCTTCATTCTGATCCACCTTCAGGATCGTGCTGTTAATTGAATTAATTGTAGTCTTGATAATGGTCATTTCATCATTTGCAATATGCAAAAATTTGGTTTGCTCAGCTTCCAGTTTGCTAATATAATTATTACTATTCTCAACGTCAGCATCAGTTGCTGTCCCGAACAAAAGGTGAAATCCTTTACCTACAAAATTTATCAATCCTCTCTTTTCTCTTGGGGATCTACGTTTCCTAATGGGCTTATTTGCACTTGTGTAGTCTATCAAATTTTCATTCAGCTGATCGATATATTTAGCCTTAGACTTGAAGTAAGATAAGGATGGTTTACAGTCAGTAAGATAGTACCATTCCTGTGTTTCTAACTTGTTACAATACTCTGTCACTCTTGTCTGAAAGTTCTTGGTTTGACGCCACAGCTCCCTGTGTGGTTCTAAATCTATATAACTCACAAACTTCCACTTCATCGGAAATAGACGAACCGTTCCTAGCTCATCAAAGTATATGCCACTGGCTGAAGTCAGTTGCTCCATTTCTTGACCTTGGAGTAGACTCCAGATTGCTAGAAGAGTGGTCAAGCTGATCCATCCGATAAAATGCATGCTGATCTTTTTCTGCAAAGATCAAACACAATAGGATTTTAACCTATTCATGTGCACTTTTATGTGTTTTCTCTTGCCTATTCTCTGAATAATTGCGTTGGGGTATTCTATTTCTTGAATTTCGAAGGGTCCTTCCCATAAAGGATCTAATTTATTTCTTTGTTCTTTTGATAACCATACTAAATCATTCTTTTGAAAACATGTTCCTTTTGTCTTTTCATTTTTACTCTGTTCTGACTTAGCTTTAATTAATCTTGACCTCGAAATTTGACTTGCTTCTTGTATTCGTCGTTTAATCATACTGACAACATCGTCGTAATTATATGTTGGTGATAGCCCTTTTTGCAACGCTCCTGGTAAGTTACATTTATGCCCAAATAAAACTTCATAAGGCGTATAAGTTGTAATGGAATGCGGGGTGGTGTTATAAGCAAAACATGCGAATGGAAGTAACTCATCCCATTCCTGTTTCTCACTCACATAACTTCTGAGATACGTCACTAGGGACGCGTGGGCACGTTCCAGTGCTCCATTACTTTCTGGGTGATAAGCGGTTGTTTCTATTTTTTCTATCCTCAGCAGCTTACACAACCGTTTAAAAAGGTCGGAACAAAAGTTTGCTCCTTGGTCTGTTAAAATCATAGAAGGAATACCAAATATTAACACTACACTTTTCATTAATTTGTCAGCTATCTCTTCACTCGTTTGACCTTTTAACGGGACGGCTATTAAATACTTGCTAAGGTTATCTTGGCATGTCAAGATATATTTGTTTCCGTCCGTTGTCAAATTCAGGGGACCCACTATGTCTAATGCTATCTTGTCCCACGGGTTATCCTGAGTATCAGTTATTTGAAGGGGTTGTGCTGTCACTTTTCCCATTTTCATCTGTTGACACACTTTACAACTTTTAATATAATCTCTAACTTCTTTTTCCATACCTTCCCACTGCAGGTATAATTTTATCCGCTCAAGAGTTCTCGAAATACCTTGGTGTCCGCCTACGGGGCAATCGTGCATTTCACGCATGATTTTCAATTTTCTGTCTTTCTCTATCTCAACTGGGGGACACACATCTTTTAATTCGCTTAGATTTATCTCTGGATATCGGCTTAAACTGTCGGCGTTGACGTTTTGTTTGCCCGGTTTATATATGACCTCAAAATCATACTCTTCTAATAATAATCGCCATCTAAGGAGTCTCGAACTCGGAAAATCCAAGTTAATCCCTTATGGTCAGTCAAAACTTGAAACCTTCGACCAGTTAAGTATGGTCTGAAGTGCTTGCATGCCCACACTATTGCAAGCAATTCTTTTTCAACAGTGCTGTAATTAAGTTCAGTGTCATTAAATGTCCTACTAGCGAACGCGACAGGCAAGTCTTGGCCTACCTTGCCTTGGCTTAACACGGCACCAATGGCATAGCCACTTGCGTCTATTGTTAAAAGAAATGGTTTTTCAAAATCTGGCTACTGCAACACTGGCGATGTAATTAGTTTCGATTTTAAAATTTCAAAACGATTCTGCTCTTTTTCTGACCATCTCCATGGAATTTCCTTCTTTAGCAATTCAGTAAGTGGTTTTGCCAAAGCAGAAAATTTATCAATAAATTTTCTATAGTAACCAGCCAAGCCTAAGAATGAGTTAACAGCTGTTTGATTCTTAGGAGTAGGAAAATTTACAACACTAGAAATTTTCTTTTGGTCTGGTTTAATACCTTCAGCCTTAATTACATGTCCTAAATAATTTAATTCTGGCTTACGAAATTCACATTTGTCTGGATCTATTTTAATATTCCACTTTCTCAAATGCGAAAATACCTCTTTTAATTTTGCACTGTGTTTGGAAAGGGTTTCTCCCATCACAGTTATGTCATCCATGTACACCCTACAATTTTCACCTAACGAATACCTAAGCACCGCATTCATCATCTTCTGATAAGTGGCAGGCTTGAAGATATCCACTCGCACAGTGAAGCGCAGAAAAATACCTAGCTCTGTATGGGTTGTGTTTACTATAAGACACGTCATCTGTCTGTTAACACATTCTGTAAGACATCTGGCTACAAAAACACCAGCTTGTATTTCTTGACTATCTAGAAACCTAACTTTTTTTTCTTGTTGGAAGCTGAACAACATTTTCTGAAAAAGCAGGTATAACTTCTCTCTTAACAATAAAATGGTTCTGCATCAACCAGTCTTGTCCCAAAATTAAATCTAACTGTCCAGGCAGTTTGTCGACTACATAAAATAAATGATGACCATTATCATTAACATCAATATCGACTTCTCCGTTGATATTCATTCTATTACCTTTAAACTTATCAAACTTAGTTCTCGGCTCCGGCCCACCTGACCTCGGCTCAACACCAATATCAACTTCTCCACTGCTATTCATTGCATTTCCTTTAAACTTATTAAACTTATTCATCGGCTCCGGCCCACTTGACCTCGGCTCGATATCAATATCAACTTCTCCGCTGATATTCATTGCATTACCAGTAATCCCACTTATTTTAAACAAATCATTATTTCTCGGCTTGGATCTGGGATGTAACGCAGCTCTAGCTATGAGTGATACCTGTGCACCTGTATCAATCAATGCCACCCCTATTCCTGTTCGGAGATGCGAACCGGTTACGAAAATCTCATAAGGACCCAGGGGACATCCTTCCTTTTGATTCTCAATTTTCGAAACCTCACCCAACCTCCTAGTGGGTGATTTCGAGGAACCCTCAACTAGTAAAGGGACCCCAAACCTACCTCACTGACCTTCCAATAGTACCAGTGGGTAGTCGATGCTAGCACCACTTTTTGAATTCAACAGGCTACCCTCTTTGAGACAGTCAAAATTATTCACATAAAACTCATCATTAACAACAGGATCCACTTGTGACTGCCCTTCAAATGGTCCTACACACAGTTTCCCTGGAACAGGGTGCCTTTATTATTTGGAATACTGTTCACTTCCCCCCTAGATCCAGCCCTGGCGGTAAAAATCCGCCACCGCTTCCGTCTCTTGGATAGCGTAATTGCGATGGAACTCTGCCATCTAACCTTGTTCCACAAATCGTGAGTTTCATGACCTTTACGATTACATCTTTCACAGGTAACACTTTGCTTACACTGTTTCATTAAGTGCCCTGCTTGATTACAAAAGAAACATTTTCTACCGTCAGTCACGGCCATAATTTCCTGCTTAATCTTTGGTTGGGGAACCTGCCATTGACGATTGCCCAGGAGTTGAACCTGTCAACCAATTCTGATTAGAACGAAACATTTGCGATTTAAGTTCACTTTCCTCGTTCGAGGCGGTTTCAATCAAAACCCTCCTTAGGGTTCCCATCAACAGTTGGCAGTAACTTCTCGGCATGAGTTACTGTCCATTACTCTCTTATTCTCTCTGCCTCTGTGGCATCTCTCATTAATTGCCTAACTTGTTCATCAGCCATTTTTAAACAATTCCTCTAAAACTTATTATTAAGCCTCCACAGTTGTTAACTATTAAAGGGTCTTGACTAACCTTACAAGAGGGAAGGGTGTCCAAAGCTCTGTAGTTCGTCCGGTAGTGATGGAGGACGGTGCCCCTGTTGTATCCCGAAGGATAGTGATGGGAAGTAC